CCCCACATTGTCTCATTCTGCTGTATAGACTTTCAGTGGAGTTTTTAATCTCCTGGAAATCTGTTTGCATCTGCTTTATGGATTCCATTTGTTTCCTATGTTGGGATTCCATCATGTTCCTCAGCTCCTCTTTAGATTTATTAATCATGTCTTGCACTATGAGCAAAATCTCTGCTGTTATGTGAGAAACTGTTTCTGATTTCATTTTTTCCAGATCCTCTTTCGTTGCCAGTTCAGGGAGTCCAGGTGGTTGAGTGTCAGAGTGTTCCATCTCATTTCTCTTTGGGGTTGCTGTAGGTGATCTAGAAGACTGGTTTTGACACTTGTTTACTTGTGTTCTCATTCCGATGGGTGGTGGGTGTGTGTGCTTTAGGCACCCACGTGGCTCACCTCCTCCTCACTGGGAGCAGTGGTACAATGGCCTGGAAGCTTCCTCCTCTGCTCTGGGAGCAGTGCTATGGCACCCAGAAGCCTCCTCCTCTGCACTGGGAGTGGTGCTATGGTGGCCACATTTTCTGGTTCTTTACTTTAAAATAATGATGTCAACTCTAGAATTACCCCAACTCACCGGATACTTAGCACCTTCACTCAGAGGATAAAGCTAACACTAAAGCTACTACTGTGGATAGATGGAATATGGGTGAATAAATCACACTGGATGAAATGGGCTTTTCCATGGATGCACCAACCTAAAATTTCACTCTCTAAAATCCAGAACTGTAAATAGTGTCAGAATCCTACTGTAACTTACTTCACACTTGGTTAAACTTTGGAATGGTGTCATTGAACTTGTAGGGAAAGAAGGACTGGCAGGCAGGAAAAAAGATAGGATAAAGCTTCAGTGAGGTTTCTGGCAAATCCTGACCAGAAAGAGTTCAACCCTTGCTGCAGGGAGGAATTAGGAGGAGAAGCAAGAAGCTGATAAGCAGTATGGCTCTGCCAGGTGCCAAGTACTTCAGCTAAAGTTAGTTGCTTCTCCCCACCATGCAATAAGGTACAAGGGAGGCAAAGTGGGGTGGGGCCACTTAGCAGAAAACTCAGTATATAAAATATATACACTAGACACACACATACTATTCTCCCACTATGTTACTGTACTAAAATGTACATGTATCATTTTACTTGTTAACTCAGTCTTTTATATAAGGTTTCCATAAATTTTAGAGATTAGAATTTGGCAAGGCAAAGAAAAACCAAATGAAGCTCATGTAGGAATTTGCATGTATTCCATGATATCTAAATTAAGGGCCTAAGGGCTTGAAATAGCAAATTAGGCTATAACAAATTCCAGGAGGGAGAGTCTTTCTGCCACACTAATAAAAAGGGCTGAAGACAAAGGCACTTGGGTCCTCCATCTTTCTGGAGCCCCCTACTCTGATTTACCAGAGTAGTTATCTGTCTCCTCCTTTTCCTCCCTTTCCAATAAAATACCTTTCTAATAAAATACTTTCATTTTCTTAAACTTTGTATCTTTAATCCTTTACTGGTATGGAGTTTATGAATCCTGGTGAGCTGCCTACCTACAGCAGAGCAGTTACTCATCCCCCAGACATGACAAGCAGGCTGAAAATTATGAAGTTATTGCATTTGGATCTTTCACCACTGAGAAGTCTAGGCACAAGCAATGTTCACATATCATTCTCCTACCTCGAGTCAGATATGTGGAGAGATGTGTAGACTCATTTGACATCTTTCTTTTCCTGTGTTCTGGGCACCATAGTAGGGGATCTGCATATACTACAGCATTTTGTCATCACAAAAGCCCAGTGCTATGATCTGCTTGTTATTAGTTATGGTTTTTTTCCCAGTAAGTTTATTGGTAGATTTTAGGTATAAAATACAGTTACAATCATCATTGGGATCTTGTACCATTACATGAGTATCTTGGTTCTTTTTTTTTTCCCTTCCCTTGCCCTCCCTTCACCCCCTCCACCCTTCCCTATTTGC